ACCTGAAGGTCTACAGCCCCAGGAGGATGCGGCAGTTCATCGAGGCGGGGATCCAGCGCTCGCTGATGATGAGACTGCACCGCGAGCACCTGGGAGGAGCGCTCGGCGGGCCGCCGACCATCCAGGTCACCCAGCAGGCGGTCGCGGCGCTGCGCAGGCAGGGCGACAGCGAGCAGGTGGCGCTGTTCGAGGCGCTGGTCTGCGGCGGCCTGGTGACGGAAGCTGACCTGTATCGCGAACGGGCAGTGCTTAGCCCTGTGTGCAGGCTGTGCGGCGCGGAGCCAGGGACGCAGAAGCACCGCCTGTTCTGCTGCGACGGCACCGGTGGCGTCGCGGCGGCCATGGACCTGAAGCAGGTCAGGAGAGCAGGCGCGGCAGCCCCAGACGGCGACATCGGGCTCGTCAGGTGCCTGGTCAGCCTCGGCCTGGAGCGGGCCCCGAGGCCTGCGGAGCAGGAGGTCTGCCGCCGAGGAGGAGCCCTCATCGGGGGGCTGGCCTGCGGCACCGTCTGCATCGACGGCTCGGCGATGGCCCCAGAGGTCAAGGAGCTCACCAGGAGCGGGTGGTCCTGCATCATGGTGGTGGCCGACGGCACCATCATGGGCGGGATGTTCGGGTGCGTCCCAGGGCCCGTCCAGGAGAGCGGCCACGCCGAGCTCTACGCGCTGGCGCGGGCGCTCAGGGAGAAGGGCCCCCAGCTGGACGTGGTCACGGACTACCTGCGGCTGGTGGAGGACTACGAGAGAGGAGAGGCTTGGTGCCTGGGCCCAGGGTCGCTCAACGCCGACCTGTGGAAGGAGGCCTGGAGGCACATCAGAGACTTGGGGCCCGAGGCATTCAGCCTCCAGTGGGTCCGAGCCCACACCAGCTGGGCTGCGGCAGCGCTGGCAGACACGCCCTGGGCCTGGCACCGCGGCAACAAATGCGCGGACAGCAAGGCCAAGGAGGGCGCCAAGCTGCACCCGTCGTTCGACGCCGTGATGCAGAGGGCGAGCATGGTGAGAGCGGCCACCCGAGCCGCGGAGTCGGTCGCCGTCCATCACGGAGCTGTCTTGAAAATGTTAGCGGGCCTAGGCTGGCCCGATCGGAGCCCCCTCCCCCGCCCCAGGCCGTCCCGAAATTCGATCGTCCTCGTTTCGGGCGAGAACGGGCACTCGATTTTGAGGTTTGGACGGGCCTGGGGGTGCAAAATCTGCGGGGTCCGGAAGGGGCTCCGATCTAGGATCGTTTCGTCTCCCTGCCCAGGAATGCCTCGGCCCGCGGCGATCGCCCACCCCTCCCATAAGCTCTGGGTCGTGCGTGGGGATCGGGGTCGGGGGTCTGGCGATGAGGCTAATGGGAGGGGGTTGATCGTCTTCTGTAGAGTCTGCGGGGCCTATGCCAGAAGACAGGTCCACGACCTCAGTCGTCCCTGCCGTCCCTTCACCTCCCGTCCTCGGTCGGCGGCCCGTCTGGCTAGAACGGCGTTGGGACGACTGAGGTCTGGACGGGAGCCCCAGTCCAACAGGTTCTGGGGGCTCCCTTTCCCCCTCTTCGGTGCCCCGTTCGGCGGAGGGCCCAACGATGGGCCCGACGAGGGGGGGAATTCGTCGGGACCCGAGGTGGAGGAGGCATAGGCTTCCTACCTCGAGGTCGGTCCTGCTCGGCAGTAGGTTAAGCTAGTTCGGCTGGTTTTGCTGGACTATGTTTTGGTAGGACTCGAGGAGGAGGAGGAGGAGGAGGAGGAGGAAGGAGGAAGGAGGAAGGAGGAAGGAGGAGGAGGAGGAGGAGGGGCAGGGGAGGGAGCAGGGAGCAGGGAGGGCGGGGAGGGGAGGGGAGGGGAGGGGAGGGGAGGGGAGGGAGGGGAGGGGAGGGGAGGGGAGGGGAGGGGGGAGGGGGGGGAGGGGAGGGGGAGGGGGGGAGGGAGGGAGGGAGGGAGGGAGGGAGGAGGGAGGGGGAGGAGGGAGGAGGAGGAGGAGGAGGAGGAGGAGGAGAGGGGAGGAGGAGGAGGGAGGGGGAGGGGGAGGGGAGGGGGAGGGAGGGGAGGGGAGGGGGGGGGAGGGGGGAGAGGGGATGGGGAGGGGAGGGGGAGGGGGAGGGGGAGGGGAGGGGGAGGGGGAGGGGGAGGGGGAGGGGGAGGGGAGGGGGGGGAGGGGGGGAGGGGGGGGGGGAGGGAGGGGAGGGGGAGGGGGAGGGGAGGGGGAGGGGGAGGGGGAGGGGGAGGGGGAGGGGGAGGGGGAGGGGGAGGGGGAGGGGGGAGGGGGAGGGGGAGGGGAGGGGGGAGGAGGAGGAGGAGGAGGAGGAGGAGGAGGAGGAGGAGGAGGAGGAGGAGGAGGAGGAGGAGGAGAGGAGGAGGAGGAGGAGGAGGAGGAGGAGGAGGAGGAGGAGGAGGAGGAGGAGGAGGAGGAGGAGGAGGAGGAGGAGGAGGAGGAGGAAGAAGAAGAAGAAGAAGAAGAAGAAGACGAAGAAGAAGGAGGAGGAGGCGTCTCCCTTGCTACCCCTGCTGTGCGAAGTTCTTCCCACCCGGCGGGCGCCCTGCGCGGGCAATAGCACAGACGCACGAAGTTGGTGGGTGGGAGGGCGTCGTGGGGCGAGGAAGGAGGGGAGGGAACGAGGGATTGAGGAGGGGAGGGCGGAGGAAAGTGAGGGACGGAGAAGGAGGGAGGGAGTTAGGAGGGACGGTGGGAGGAAAGGATGGCGGGATGGAGGGAGGAGAAGGGGAAGGAGGTAAAGGAGGAGGAGGATCAGAGTAAACGCAGTACGCATCAACGATGCTGCAGTACGCCCAACCGTTCTGCTCTTCACTGCGGAAAGCGCCCCTTGAAACACGAGCGCCCCGGGGCAGTTCAGACGAGAGCCGCGTCTTGAGAAGGAGCTGCCGTCCACATTTCCAGTTGTAAGAACGGCGACGAGCCAGGATCAAGACGTCCATGGAAGTGTCCAGCGAGCAGCGAGAGCCCCACTTCGAAGAAGATCTGCGCTCGACCAGCGCTGGTCATCACACCGAAGGTTTTTTTTCTCAGAAAGGGCGCTGGCCCAGGGTTCTCTTTTTGTTGGTAAACTTGTCCCCGGTGCCTCAACTGAGGTGGGCCGGCGGATTCTTTCCCTGATGAATATCGAGGTCGAGGAGGGCCGGCGGATTAAAATTTGAGGATGTCTCATAAATCACAGGGTGCGGGCCACTCTTTCGTGTGTTGAGGATGTCTCGAGCGAAACGCTTGCTCCGCAGAGTTACCGAGGATGTCTCGAGCGAATCGCTTGTTTTGTAGAACTTCAGGGATCTGGGCGCACCAGAGATTTGCCTTCTCGAGGTGCACGAACCCGTGTGTTTTTACGTATGTGCCTGTAGATTTGCCCTCTCCAGGTGCACGAATCCATGTGCTTTAACGTATGTGCGTATAGATTTGATTTCTCCAGGGGCGCGAATCCGTCCGCTTCGGAACTGAATCGGAACTGAATCGGATCTTGAACTCGAGCTGGTTGAGAGCCCCGCAGGTTTCGATTGCGACCAGCTCAAGGGCGAGTTATGCGTTCAGACAGCTCGGGCTTAAGATCCAAATCAGTTCGGCCAGGATTCGGAGGCCACGGGCGAGTTGATCCACAACGCAATTGAGCACAGCACAGTTCAGCGCAGCATGGCCAATTCCAAGTCAGCACAGCACGGCACAGCACAGCCCCTGGCACAGCACATCGCCATCGACACCTTCAGCATTGCAAGTGCCCGTCGCCCAATACGGTGTCGTGAAAACGTTTCCATGCATGCGGTTCTATATGCGTTTCCACGACCACACCCCCCCCAGCACGACCACACCCCAGCACGACCACACCCCAGCACGACCCCACCCCAGCACGACCCCATCCCAGCACGACAAAACCCCAGCACGACCACACCCCAGCATTACCCCACCCCAGCACGACCCCACCCCAGCAAGACCATCACCCAGCACGACCACACCACAGCACGACCTCACCACAGCACGACCACACCCCAGCACGACCACGCCCCAGCACGACCACGTGCCTCCACGACCACGCCCCAGCACGACCACCCCCCAGCACGACTACCCCCCCAGCACGACCACTCCCCAGCACGACCACCCCCCAGCACGACCACACCCCAGCACGACCACTCCCCAGCACGACCACAGCGCCTTGGTTGAGTGGTTGCCTGTCGTCGTGGAATGTTTCGTGGGGTGTCTCGTGGACTGCTTCGCGGGGTGTCTCGTGGAATGTCTCCAGGAAAACGTTGGAAATGGTCGCCTGTGTCTCGTGGAATGTTTCGCGGGGTGTCTCGTGGAAGTTCCCGTCGCCCAATACGGTGTCGTGAACACGTTTCCATGCATGCGGTTCTATATCCCCTTCCGGGTTCGTGGGTCCATCATGTTTTCAGCGAGAGCCACGACTATTTGGACACGAACCTTCTTCCGTGTAACTGCGGGAACATGTTATGACGAATGTGCGCGGCGCTGGGGTGAGGGCCACATTTGAAACGGAGCCGCCCGCCATCCGTGCAAATGTGGAAAATGTTGAAGGCATATGTGCGTGGCGCTGAGGCGAGAGACACATGTTGAGAATGACCCCCTCCATCCGTGTAGATGTTTGAAGCTTTCAGGAAGAATGAGCGCAGCACTGAGGCGAGAGCCACACTAAGCAAACACACTCCCTTTTCATCCGTGTACTTGCTGAAACAATTAAGACGAATGTGCGCGACGGTAAGGCGAGAGCCACATTTTGAAAACGATCCCCCTTCTATCCGTACAACTGCTGGGGGGCTTTTCGGACGAATGTGCGCAGCGTCCAGGCGAGAGCCACATACTGCAAACCACCCATTCTGCTTGAAGATGCTGAGACACATCCGCGGGGCGCTGGGGGCGGGAGCCACGCTTTGGAAGCCACCCCCCTCCGTCCGCGCGACTGCTGGAAGCTTTGAAGACGAGTGTGCGCGGTGCTCATGCGAGCAGAGGGGGGGGAGGGGGGGGGAGGAGGAGGAGGAGGAGGAGGAGGAGGAGGAGGAGGAGGAGACGCGAGCAGCACCAGCACCACCGTCCAGCAACATCGCCGTTGGCGTGGCCTCGGCATGACCGCCTCTCGGCGGGGGTCCGTCCGCCCGCCGCTGCGCGCTGCGTCGGGGCGGCAGACCGCCCCGCCTTCTCTTCCTGCCTCTCTCCCGCGCCGTCGGCCAGGGCGGCGTGCGGGCTCTGGCTTCCCTCCTCTCTTGGCCTCCCCGTCGTTCACCCTTTTTTTGTGGGGGGCAATAGCTGTGCAACGGCACAATGAAACTGTCACGGAATACCTCTTGGAGGTGGTGACCATGTCGAAAAGTCAGAAGAAGAGTTAAGTGCTTGAAGTGCCTCCCCGTCGTTCACCCGTGGTACTCATGTCTTGAAAACTGATTGGGCCATTGCAAGCCGCACGCTTCGCGGCCTATGGGACGTTTGCAAGCTGCAAGCTCCATCCGCACGCCTGTTGGACAACTGCAGGCTTCGCGGCCGTGTACGGGAGCAGGCCGGCCGTCTCAGTCGAGACGCTTGCCCGCCTTGCGGGCACGTCTTGTGGCCACGCGATGTGCGGTTGTTATCACAGGAAAGGGAGGCTGGAGGAGGAGGAGGAGGAGGAGGCAAGGAGGGAGGGAGGGAGCGAGGGAGCGAGGGAGGGAGGGAGCGGAGGAGGAGGAGGAGGCGGAGGAGAGGAGGAGGAGGAGGAGGAGGAGGAGGAGGAGGAGGAGGAGGAGGAGGAGGAGGAGGAGGAGGGGGAGGAGGGAGGGAGGAGGAGTAGAAAGAGGAGGAGGGAGGGAGGAAAAGGAAGGTATAACAATGAGGATGAGGGCGATGTGAAGGGTGATGGTGAGGTGTGTGGTGTTGATGATCGTGTGTGAGGTTATCATTGCTGTCATGGGTATGAGTTATGACGATACTGTCGGCGATGACTGCAATGATTGCGATGGTGGTGGACACGATGGTGAATACAAAGGGTGATGACGGTGACGATGATGACGCTACTGTTGACGCGAGTAATGCTATGGATGATGTTGGCGATGTAGTTGGTGAGGATTGCGGTAAGGATTTGTCGACGATGACGATGAAGATGACGACAATGATGCTAATGCTGATGATGACGAATATGATAATGCTGGTGCGTATAGCGGTGGTGGTGAGGGCAATAATACATATGATGATTGTGGTGCCGATGGTGGTGGTGATGGTGGTGGTGCTGACGATGTCGAGAACGATGCTGAAGACGATGATGATGCTGAGGATGGTGGTGATAAAGATAACGACGATGGCATCACGGTAACAGTTTGTGACGATGAATGCGGTTCTTAATCACGACGGCTATGATGAGCAGGAGACACAGAAGAGGAGGACAAGTAGGAGGAGGAGAGGAGAGAGGCATGGAGCAGGGGGCGAGGACTTGGGAAATGAAGGGAGGAGGGAGGAGGGAGGAGAGAGAAAGGAGGAGAAAGGAGGAGAAAGGAGGAGGGGCAGAAGAGGGAGCCGGGAGCGAGGGGGGGGGGGAGGAGCCGCTGGCCCCCTCTCCCCGTGCGAAGCACGCTGCTTGGGCCCTGGCACTCTCGGGCTCTCTCTGGGAGGGGCCGCCGCCCGGGGCATCCACCCCGCCGCTGCTCCCAGAGGGGCCGCTGGGAGCAGGGAGCCCGGTCCTCCCGAGAGGCCCTCCGAGTTTGGATCCGAGGTCGGATCGGGTTTCTGGAGGCAGGACAGGGGTGAGCATGTTCTTTGGGTGGAGGGCAAAGTGTGAAATCTGAAATGCCGTTTCGTTGGATTTTCGAGGCTTGAATCTGCAAAAGGTGAATCACCAGACGCATTGATTTTCGAGGTGCGCAAACCCATATGGATTTCACACCCAAGAAAATGCTCAGAAGGGGTGGTGTAAAGGGGCGTGGTGCCATTATTGAATCTGGCGATGTAATCTATCGTCGATGACATCACCATGTCCGCCACACCCCTTTCTGCCGCACCCCTCTCCGACGCCCAAAAGTTTGGGTCCGAGGGGCTTCGGCTCGCGGCGTTCGAGGTTCTCGAGGTCCTCGGGGTTCGAGGTTGGAGGGCGTGTTCGTCGGTTCTCGGCGGTTTTCCAGCCTCGGGATGCCTCTCAGGCGCTGCGCCTCGCCAGGGGCGTGCTGTGGGGCCGGATCGTCCCGAGCGGCCGCTGGAGAGTCGAGATAGGGCCCCCAAACGCCAGACCTCCAACGTCTCAAGAAGCTCGACGCGGAGGTTTTTCTCCGCCATCGGCCTCCAGGGGTCGTCGCTGGGCCCCGGGACCGTCATGACGAGCTGGCACTGGGGAAAAGGTCCAGACCTTGTTCTGGGGTTCCCGCATCGAGAACTTCACGGCATCGGATGTCTGGGTTTATCCATTGGTCCCAAAAGCCTTTCCAAGAACGTGGGCCCAGGCCTGCCCGGGAGGCTTCCATGAACAGTTGTCCGGGTGTCTCAGGGGTGTCGTGGATGAGTGCTTGCGGACGGATTGTCTCACGGCTATGGTCTTGCTTTCCGTAGCAGTATGGGCTCGAGAAAGCAAGTCCACCCTCTCATTCTGTCCACCACGTGGGGCCCGTGCGAGGGGGTGCCGCCGACTTTGCTTAGCCGACATTTTCGGTGGCTGAGTTGGCACCCAGGCAACGTGGTAACCCAGCACGCTGGGGCCATACCCTTGGGATCCGCCGCCTGCTCTGCTAAGAAATTTGCTGTCACGGTTTCCGCCGTTCGCGCGGGGGGCGAGGACCCTAGTCTTTCTTCTGATCGCCTTCCATCTTCTGCATCCTCCACATCATGTTCCGCCTCCTCGTCATTCTTCCTCCACGTATTTTTGCTCGTCTTCCTCCTCGTCTTCCTTCCCTGGAAAGCTTGAGAGAAGCGTTGAGAAACTGGGGACGACATCGGGGACCTTTCAAGTCGCCCCATCTTCCCTCCTCCCAACACCACCTCGACCATCTCCATCCTTCTTATCCTTCCTCCTTGGTCCTCCGTTTTGTAATCATCCCTCCCTTATATCATCCCTCCCCTCATTCATCCTCTCTCTTGGTCTCCCTCCAATGTTCGCCCATCGTTTGCGCACGATCGAAATGATCAGTCGTTGGTTGGGCCCACCCTGTCAGCTGCCAGCATGAATAAGTGCGTCCATCGTTACCCGCATTGGTGAAGGGAATTAGCGTCGCGAATCGGATGATGTGGAGGAGCATGACCATGAGCAAGAGGAAACGGAGCCGCAAGAAGAGGAGGACGATGGAGGCGGAGGAGGAGGAGGAGGAGCAGGAACAGGAGGAGGTGGTGGTGGTGGAGGAGGCGGAGGGAAAGTAGGATGATGATGAGGAGAAGGATAATGGAGAAGGAGAAGGAAGAGGATTTTTAGGAGGAACCTGCTCAGGGTCTTGATTATACACGAGGAAGATAACGGATGCACGTTGAATCGTGAAAAGTCAGGACGATGAGGATGACGAGGAGGAGAAGGAGGAGGAGGAGGAGGAGGAATTGCAGAATTCGTCCCCTCCCCCCCTCCCCCCGTCGCCCTCCTGCCTCCCACCTCCCTCCTCCCCCTTGAGATCCGACGTTGCAAAAGACAATGCAGCATCGCACAACAAATCACGACCAGAGCCCTGCGCAATGCGTCGAGCGATTGTCGATCGTTCCGCGAGGCGCCTGGGGCCCGCAGCGGGGCGACCAAAAGATCGCCCGTTGTGACAACAAGTGCAGCGCCAGGTTCTTGGGGCCTCTCCAGGTGGGCCGCGCTCCCCAGACATGATCGTGTCGCAAGAAGATCGGGGCCGGAGTTTTGTTCGCTAGTTTCGACTCCTGGAGACCCTCGCCGGGCCCTGGGACCGTCAGACAAGGACTCAGGATGAGAAGAGGGTCCAGGGAAGGGGTCGGGACTTCCGGGGACGCCGTCTTGGGAAACATCAGGACGTCGCATGTCTGGGTCGACATAGGGGTCCCCAGAGGTCTGGACCTGCTCTCCTGGGCCAGCTCTTCCTCCCGAGTCGTTTCCTGCGGGGCCCCAGGCCCGCAGACCGCGCGGAACTTCCGCCTCGAGCTGCTCGAGGCGTGAGAAGTCTGGGCCCCCCCCTCCGCAGCCGCTGGAGCCGAAGCTGCCCCCCCCGTCCTCGGCGGGCCGACGGGCCGACCGGCGCGCAGGCTGCCCCCATGGCGGCTTCGGCGGCACGGGGCGACACGGGGCGGGTGCAGGAGCTCCTGGAGGCGCTGCGGGGCGACGCCGATTCGGATGTGCGCCGGCTGGCGGCGGAGGCGCTCGGGAAGCTCGGCGCCGCGGAGGCCGCGCCCGGGCTCCTGGAGGCGCTGCGGGGCGACGCCAATTTGAATGTGCGCCGGACGGCGGCGGCGGCGCTCGGGAAGCTCGGCGCCGCGGAGGCCGCGCCCGGGCTCCTGGAGGCGCTGCGGGGCGACAAGCATTCGGAAGTGCGCCAGACGGCGGCGGAGGTGCTCGGGAAGCTCGGCGCCGCGGAGGCCGCGCCCGGGCTCCTGGAGGCGCTGCGGAACGCCGATTCGGGTGTGCGCCGGAAGGCGGCGGCGGCGCTCGTGGAGCTCGGCGCCGCGGAGGCCGCGCCCGGGCTCCTGGAGGCGCTGCGGGGCGCCGAATACGATGTGCGCTGGGGGGCGCTGCGGGGCGACGCCCTGCGGGACGCCAATTCGGATGTGCGCTGTCTGGCGGCGGAGGCGCTCGGGGAGCTCGGCGCCGCGGAGGCCGCGCCCGGGCTCCTGGAGGCGCTGCGGGGCGACTTCGATTCGCGGGTGCGCTGGAAGGCGGCGGAGGCGCTCGGGAAGCTCGGCGCCGCGGAGGCCGCGCCCGGGCTCCTGGAGGCGCTGCGGGGCGACAAGGATTCGGGTGTGCGCCGGGAGGCGGCGGCGGCGCTCGTGGAGCTCGGCGCCGCGGAGGCCGCGCCCGGGCTCCTGGAGGCGCTGCGGGGCGACAAGGATTCGGGTGTGCGCTGGCGGGCGGCGGCGGCGCTCGGGGAGCTCGGCGCCGCGGAGGCCGCGCCCGGGCTCCTGGAGGCGCTGCGGGGCGACGCCGATTGGAATGTGCGCCGGACGGCGGCGGCGGCGCTCGGGGAGCTCGACGCCGCGGAGGCCGCGCCCGGGCTCCTGGAGGCGCTGCGGGGCGACTTCGATTCGCGGGTGCGCTGGAAGGCGGCGGAGGCGCTCGGGAAGCTCGGCGCCGCGGAGGCCGCGCCCGGGCTCCTGGAGGCGCTGCGGGGCGACGCCGATTCGGATGTGCGCTGGAAGGCGGCGGAGGCGCTCGTGAAGCTCGACGCCGCGGAGGCCGCGCCCGGGCTCCTGAGGATGCTGGAGGAGGACGTTGATCCGGAGTTTCGCCGAACGGCGGCCAAGATGCTCGACAGGTTCGACCCCAAGGACCTCGCCTTGCAGCTTGTGCGCACGGTCAGGAACAGGGACATGGGCATCCCTTGGCGCGAGACCGCGGCTTCGGAGCTGGCCAGGCTGGTCACCAAAGATTCCGCTGTGGCGCTGGCGCTGGCCGACGAGCACGCCGACGCGTTGCACGACGCGGCGCAGGAGGAGGAGGTTGGCAAAGTCTTCCGCGACAGCTGCGCCAAGGCTGTGGGTAAGATCGACGCGGCGCACGCGCAGGCGGCCGACGACGCAGCCAGGCACGGCACAGCTGCGCTGCCCATCGACGGGGCGGCGGGGCGGCAAGTCGCGATAGGGCTTTGGCGACGCAATGTTCTGCATTGCCAAGCGTTGCCGTGCATTCGTAAGCTATGCAACAACTTTCTTTTCTTTCTCCAAAAACCAATCGGAGTGCACGCATAACTCAGCATAGCATACTATGGCGTTGCATCGAACAGCACTGCATCGCATCGCATTTCATAACATATCATAATTTCGCGTGTCGCAACATAGGATGGTATGTCGCTTCACGCCTTGCAACGCATTGCCGAACACTGCGAGTGGAGAAAACAACGCGCCACAGTGGGCCATCGTTGGACATTTGCATCGGCCCTCGCAATCCCATGGGGACCTGATTACCATGTCATGTGTGGGGATTGAATGATGGGCTCGCTGCTGCGCCCTGCAGCTATGCTACGCTGTGCAAATTGTGTCCATTGAGGCAGCGCCCCCCCTCGCGCGATGAAAACGAGAGGAGAATGAGGAGGAGAAGGAGGTAGAGAGAGGAAGAGGAGGAGGAGGAGGAGGAGAAGGAAGGAAAGGATGAGGAGGAGGACGAGAAAGAGATGGGGAGGAGGAGGTGGAAATGAGGACGAGGAGGGGGAGGAGGAGGATTGGAAGGTCTTCAGTAGGAAGATCTTCGCTGAAGATCTTCGCGCTGAGGCCTCAGCGGGGAGCCTCTTGGGTTTGGTCGGGGGTCTTTGGGCCTGCCCTGAGATCCTTTGGGGTTGTCTCGGAGGCAATATTCGGCTTCTCTGGCGATTCAGCGGCTAAAAAAAAGAAAAACGGAAAGATATGAATTGAAGATCTTCGCGCTGAGCCTCAAAGAGTGGGAATCCCCACTGTAGATTTCCATGCTGAGGCTGAGGCTCCCAGCGTAAAGATCTTCAGTGCAGATCTTTCTTGCTGGGGGCCTCTCTGGTCGTGCTGGGGGCCTTTGGAACTGCTGAGGAACGTTTTGGGTGGTCTCTTGGAAACATTTTTGGGATGTCTTGGGTGATCTGGGAGGCCCCGGCACACCTCCAGCGTGGAGTTCTCCGCTGTAGATCGCTGTGCCGAGGCCTCCAGCGTGAAGATCTTCACTGAAGATCTTCGCGCGGGGATCCTATTGGGCTTGGTCGGGGGCCTCTGGGCCTGTCCTGGGAGCCTTTTGGGCTGTCTTGGAAGCCATATTGGGCTTCTCTGGCGACCTGGAGGCCCGAAGAGGTCCCCAGCGTGAACACTTTCACTGAAGATCTTCGCGCTGAGGCCCCAAGCGTGAAGATCTTCACTGAAGATCTTCGCGCGAGGAGCTGTACCTGTACTGTGACCCTTAGGGCTTTGTCTTGGAGGCCATACTGGGGTTCTCTGGCGATCTGGAAGCCCGAAAATATCCCGAGCGTGAAGATCTTAACTGAAGATCCTCGCGCTCAAGGCCTCAAGCGAATATATACCCCCACTACCGATTTCCAAGCCGAGGCCCCCCAGCTTAAAGGTCTTCAATGTAGATCTTCCTGCTGTGGACCTTTCGGGCCGTGCTGGGGGCCTCTGCATGGGAGCCTTTTGGGTCGTCTTGGAGGTCATGTTGGGCCGTCTTGGGCGATCTGGGTGCCCGGGGAGACCCCCAGCGTGGAGATCTCCGTTGCAGACCTCCGCGCCGAGGTTCCAGCGTGAAGATCTTCTCTGAAGATCTTGGGTCAACAGCCACGTGCGTGAGAAGCCATGCAATGTGGCACAATGTTGTATCAACCATTGCCATGCGCGCATGTGGGAGAATATTCATAGACATGCGTGTGCTATGTGAAGAATTCGAGCGTACATGCTTTGATGGGGGTTTGGGCGTCTTGGGATGCATCTCGTTCACAGTTAGTACGCGCGCGCAATCGCCCAGTTGCAATCAGACAAGCTACCGTACTCTGTCTGAGCGGGAATGAAGGGGGGACCAAGAGAGGGAGGAGGATGAGAGAAGGGGTTGGGGAAGGAGGAAAAGCAGGAAAAAAGGTAGGATATGACATAGAGGAAGATGACGAGGAGAAGGAGGAGGAGGAGGGGAAGGAGGAATAGGGAGATGAGTGAGGGGAGGAGCATGATGAGGAGGACAAGGACGGGGGGGGCAGGGAAGAGAAGGTAGGGGGAGGGGGGGAGAAAGGGAGGAGGAAGGACGAGGGGAAGGATGAAGAGGAAGGGGAGGCGGATGACGAGAGGAAAGCGAAGGAGGGGTGGTAATGAGGAGGCGGGGGATGAGGAGAGGAGAAAAGGAAGCGAGGAGGAGGACACGGAGGAGGAGGACTCGCGGCGTGCGCCAAAATCAAAGCAGCTTATCGAAGTGGGATGGCTGGAGCTGTGCAATAGGCGGTTCGAGCCCGAACGCATCAGTCTTCATGTTCTGGGATTCGGACGTTCCCAGAGGAGGAGGAGAAGGAGGAGAAGCAGGAGGGCACGAAGGGTTCGATGAGCTCGCAGTTCTCTGGAGAATTGTTCGAAGGCCTTCAGGGAGCGCTCTCGTCGGTGCGGCTTGACGCAGTTGGTACAACTTGATTCGACCCTTTTGAAATTATATGGTTGGGATCGGTTGCGTTGCCCCATCGTCGACGACGACGGCGACGACGGCACCGGCAACGCCAGCGGCGACGGCGGTGACGGTGACGGCGGCGGCAGCCGTGGCATCGACTGCGGCTGCGATTGCCATGACAAAGAAGACGAACGCGACGACGACGACGACAACCGCGACGACGGCGTCAACGGTGGCTGGCAGTCGGTCGTCATTCGTCACCGTCGTCATCAAGTCGTGGACGTGGGTCGTGGACACCGTCGTCGTCCGTCGTCACATTCCGCGCCCGTCGCGGTCGTCGCCGTTGTCGAAGTTTTGTTTCGTCACTGTCGTCGTCACATGGAGCTAATGTTTGAGCGACGGTTTCCATGACGCGCGACATGATGTTTGCATTCACGGAGTTGCTGATCTCCGCTTGCTGTGCATCCACCAGGGAGTCTCAGGTGGCGAACCTTTCCTTCCACCCTTCTCACTCTTCTAAGGTGACCTCCCACTGCCGCCGCCACGCTTCGGGGCGATGGTTAAGTAAAGGTCTGATCGAGAGAACGGTGGGTGCAATCTGCCAGAGCAGAACAACCTAAAGCCAAATACGCGTGCTTATGAAATGGGGGGAAGCCAGGACGACGCCATCCTCATGAGCAGCCTTGGCGGCTAACGCGATGCACCGGGAAGCCCGAGCCTGTGCGTAGCGAAAGGGTAAATCACCCTATCGCTACGCACAGTCGGGGACGTCCCCGACTGTGCGAAGGGGGCTTCTTTTCATTTAGGAGCCGGTGCGTAGCGATATGGTAAATCACTCTGTCGCTACGCACAGGCTCCTAAATGAAAAGAGGTCCCCTTCGCACACTCGGGGGCGTCCCCGACTGTGCGTAGCGATAGGGTGATTTACCCTATCGCCACGCACAGGCTCGCCATTTTTTGGGGAAGTGCATTGTTCCAGCGCCGCCCCTCTAGTCAGCTCAGGGACGTCCCCGACTGGAGAGCGATCGACCGAGAGTTCACATGCCACGCTCTTAGGTTGAAGTGGAAGCTGGGGCTGGCACGGTGAATCGATGATGTTTGCATGAGGTTTTGGGAGGAAGCAAAGGAGGCGCTGGCGTTCGGATGTCTGTCGACGTCGACGCGCAGTTCGAGCGCCACCCAGATCTTGATAGTTCGGAGTTTGTCCACGAGGATGCTAGACAGAGCGACAACCCTTGAATACGAAAGAATGCGACGCTGACTCTTGAGCTCCGTGCTACGATGACGATGGCGAGGACTACTTCGACGACAACTGCGACGATCGCGACGAGCGCGACGGGTGCGGAGTGCCACGACGGACGACGACGGCGCCCACGACTCTCGACCACGACTTCGCGACGACGGTGACTGGTGACAATCGCCCGCCGGCCGCCGTTGACGCCGTCGTCGCCGCCGCCATCGTCGTCGTCGTCGCGTTCGTTTTCTTTGTCATGACAATCGCCGCCGTCGTCGACGCCACCGCTGCGGCCGCCATCGCCGTCACCGCCGTCGCCGCCGGCGTTGCCGGCGCCGTCGTCGCCATCGTCGTCGACGACGGGGCCGCGCAACCGATCCCAACCAAAAAATTCCCAAGGGGTGCGGTCCAATGAAGTTTTCCCAGTTGCGTCAATCCGCAGCGACGAGAACGCTTCCTGAAAGCCCTCGAACAATTCTCCAAATAACCGCGGGTTCATCCAACCATCCGTGCCTTCGTCCTTCTCCTCCTCCTCTCCTCTGGGAACGTCCGAATCCCAGAGCATATAATCTGGTATGTCGGACTTGAACCACCCATTGTACGTCTGAAGCTACCTCGCTTTGATTTGGGCGCCCGCCGCGAGCCTTCCTCCCCCTCCGTCCCTTCCTCACCTCCTCTCCTCATCCTCCGCCTCCTCATCACCATCCCTCCTCTCCTCGGTATCCGCCTCCGCTTCATCCTCCCCCTCGTTTCTCCCCTTCCTCCTCCTCCTCCACCTCCGCTCCCCCCCATCCCCCCGCGTTTTTGTTCCCTCCTTCCCCCGCGTCCTTGCTCCCTTCATCATGTAATCGTTTCGCTCAGTCCGCCGGCCCATAATGTCGCACCGTGGTCGCCTGTCCGAGTGGTCGCTTGCAGTGTGGAGCTGCGGCGTCGGGAGCTGTGTAGTGTTGGGGGCGTTCTTGGGGCCCTCTTGGGTCGTCTTGGAGGCCTCTGGGGCCGTCTTGGAGCCGTCTTGGGCCGTCTTGGGGCCCTCTTGGGGGCCTCTTGGGCCCTCGTGGGGCGATCTTGGAGGCTTCTTGAGCCGTTTAGGGGCGTCGGAAACGCCCAAATCTGTCCAACACCAAAGGAAAAACACAGGTTTTTGCCTCTTGGGGCCCTCTTGGGAGTTTTCTTGGAGGCCTCTCGGGGCATCTTGGAGGCTTTTTGGCCCATCTTGGAGACGTCTTGGGCCGTCCGGAGGCCATTTTGGGGCGTCGTGGAGCGATCTTCGGGCGTCTAGGACCTCTCTTGGACCGTGTTGGGGGCGTTTTTCTTGGGGGCCTCTTGGGCCGTCTTGGGGCGACCTTGGAGGCCTCTTGAGCCATTTAGGGGCGTCGGGGAACCGAAAAGGTTAAAACGCCCAAATCTGTCCAACACCAAGGGAAAAAACACAGGTTTTTGCCTCTTGGGGCCCTCTTGGGAGTTCTCTTGGAGGCCTCTTGGGGCATCTTGGAGGTTTCTTGGCCCATCTTGGAGACGTCTTGGGCCGTCCGGAGGCCATCTTGAGCGTCGTGGAGCGATTTTCGGGCGTCTCGGACCTCTCTTGGACCGTGTTGGGGGCGTTCTCGGGGCCCTCTTGGGCCGTCTTGGAGGCCTCTGGGGCCGTCTTGGGCCGCCTTGGGGCCCTTTTGAGGGCCTTTTGGGCCCTCTTGGGGCGATCTTGGAGGCCTCTTGAGCCGTTTAGGGGCGTCGGGGAACCGAAAAGGTTAAAACGCCCAAATCTGTCCAAAACCTAAGAAAAAAACACTGATGTTTGCCTCTTGGGGCCCTCTTGGGAGTGCTCCTGGAGGTCTCTTGGGGCATCTTGGAGGCTTGTTGGGTCATCTTGGAGACATTTTGGGCCGTCTGGGGGCCATCTTGGGCGCCGTGGAGCGATCTTCGGGCGTCTCGGACCTCTCTTGGATTGTGTTGGGGGCCTCTTGGGGCCCTCTTGGGGCGATCCTGGAGGATCTGGGGGAGTGTCCCGGGCTCCGCCCGGGGTACTTTTGATCCAGGGACCCCAGGGGCCGCCCCGCGCGCGCGAACTAGAAATACTGTTTACCAGTTACCGGAGATCTTAGCACGCCTCTGGCCCGTTGGGCCGGCGAATTATCCTCCCCTCCCTCCTCCCCAATTCATCCTTCTCCTCTTCCTCTTCCTCCCCTCCTCCTCCCCTCCTCTTCTTCCTCCGTTTCACCCCCTACCGGCCCCTCCTCCACCTTCCCCCACCCCTCCTCTCATCCTCCTCCCTCTCCAAGTTCCCCCGTCCAATCCCCCTCAGACAGAGTACGGTAGTTTGTCTTATTGCACTTGGATGTTTGCGTGCGCGTGCGCACGCACTGTGAACGCGATGCGCCCCGAGACTCCCAAATACCCATCAAAGCGGACATCAAAGCATGTACATCCAAATCCTTCACGTAGCACGCGCATGCTATGTTCACATATGCGCTCATGGCGATGGTTGATACATACTTGTGCCAAATTGTATGGCTTCTGACGCACGTGGATGATTGCCCGGAAGATCATCAGATAATATCTTCACGCTGGACCCGCGGCGCGGCGGTCTACGACGGGGATCTCCACGCTGGGGGTCTCCCATGGCACCCAGATCGCCTAAGACGGCCTAAGATTGCCTCCGCGACGACCCCAAAGGCTCCCAGGCCAAGGCCCCCAGCACGGCCCGAGAGGCCCCCAGCATATCTAAATTGGAGATCTCTACGCTGGGGGCCTCGGCTTTGACATCTACAGCGGGGATTTTCACGCTTGGGGCCTCAGCGCGAAGATCTTCAGTTGAGATTTTCACGCTCGGGATACTTTCGGACTTCCAGGTCGCCAGAGTCATCCAATATGGCCTCCAAGACAACCCCAAAGGCTTCCAGGATTGCCAGAGGCTCCTCGCGCGAAAATATTGAGTGAAGGCCTTCGCGCTTGAGGCCTCAGCGCGAAGATCTTCGGTCCAAATCTTCACGCTGGGCACTTTTTGGGGCCTCCAGATCGCCAAGAAACCAAATGTGGCTTCCATGACCAATTCAAGAGGCCCCAGTCCCAAAGGCACCCGACCAAGCCCAAGTGAATCCCCGCGCAAAGATCTTCAGTAATTCGAAAATCTTACAGCTGGAGGCCTTGGCACGGCGATCTACAGCGGAGACCTCCACGCTGGGGATGTTCCAGAGCCCCCTCAACCGCCCAAGCCGGCCCAAATTTTCCTCCAAGAGACCGCCCACAAGGTTCATTCCCAAAGGCCCCCCGACACGACACCAGAGGGCCCCAGCAGAAATATCTACATTAAGAATATTGATGCGGGGGGGCTGCTTTTGGAATTTAAGAGGCGATCATTACCCTCTGATCCTCAGCGCGAAGATCTGAAGTGATCTTCCTCCCCACTGTTTTTTCGAGCCGCCAGATTTCCAAAGAAACCCAATACGGCCTCCAAGACAATGCAGAGAGCTCACAGGATTGGCCCACACGCCCCCGACTAAGCCCAACACGCTCCCCGCGCGAAGATCTTCACGTTTTCACGCTTGGGGCCTTAGCGCGAAGCTCTTCAGCGAAGATCTTCCCAATTGGAACACAATCCTTTTCCTCTCCCTCCTCATTTCCACCACCTCCTCCTCCTCCTCCTCTTCCCTTTCTCGTTATTCTGCTCCTTCTCCTCCTCATCCTCTCTACCGTTTCCTCCTCCTCATTATCCTCCCCTTGTCCTCGCGCGAGGGGGGGCGATGCCTCATTGGGCCGAATCTGCACAGCGTAGCATAGTTGGAGGGCGAAGCAGCGAAGCCATCAAACAGTCATGAAGATATTGGAGTCAGGTCCCTATGTGGCTGCGGAGGCCGATGCAAATTTCCAACGACGGTCCACCGTGGTGCATTGTTAAGATATTATGCTAGTGGCCAGCAATGCGTTGCATGGCATGAAGTGGTATACGATCCGATACTATGACTATGACGTGCTATGCATTGTTATGCTATGCTATGAGGTGAAGCGCTATGCGGTACTATGATGTTCCATGCTATGGTATGCTATGCGTGCGCGATGATAAACAATTTTGCTGCTTTGTATAGCATACGCATGCATGGTAACGCTTGGCCATGCAGAACAAACTGCGTAACACTACCCCACCGAAGACGTATCGCGACTCTCCGCCCCGCCGCCCCGTTTATGGGCAGCGCAGACAGACGCAGCACAGGGCTTCCACTTCTGGTTCATGAGCCGCGAAGAGTTCCTGGCACTGCCTGAGGACAGGCCAATGCCCCGCCACCAGACCCTGAGGGATCAGGGCAAGTTGGTGCGCATCTTCATGACCGACGCAGACGTCCTGTCTGGAGCGGCGAGGACAAAGGCTGCAGTCAGCCATCGCTGGGTCAGGCATTGGCACATTGACCCGGACTGCACCAAGCTGAAGAAACTGAAGACGATTCTGCGCGAGAGCCCGGACATCACCCACGTCTGGATCGACTGGGCGTGCGCTCCGCAGAAATGGAAGGACGACGCCACGGAAGGGCGCAAAACATTCGTGGAGCAGGAGGAATTCAACAGGACTTTGGCGAACGTCCTCCCATATCCGTAATGGCTTCGCCCCCTGCCGCCGGCCCCCTCTCTCGGAGAATGGGCCATGGAAGAGCTAAGTCATGAGGCTTTGGCGCTGTCGTGCAGCAGTATCG